CACTGAGAGCAAAAACGAGTGGATTGCATCTCTGCTTTCATTTAAACTTTCCAAAGGGTTGTTGAGAGGTCTGCATTTGGATCATAGCATAGGGGAGAGGCTTAAACCTTCCCCTTGCATCAAACTCCTAATGAAAAATGGCAAAAAGCTATTATTTTCCATATTATCCAAAAAATATATATAGTCATGGATTATTATTTTGTCAAGAAAATCTCATCAGTTATTTGCAAAAGTTTAAAAGGAGTAAAGATGTATGAACACCTCAGACCAAAGGTCCCCAAACTAAGACCTGAGGGACTCATTTATGCGGCCCACAGCAACCCCCACCGCCCACTCTTACCAGCACTGCGCTGCACAGCCGCCCACTTTTGGGTCGGAGGAGCACCAGGAAATAGCTTGAGCGCATGCACAAGCATTATTTGCGCATGTGCACGCGTTATTTCCAGTGCACATTGGGGTCGGAGGACGCCCGTGCACATGCGCACAAGCTATTTCCGGTGCTCCTCCGACCGGGAAGTGCGCCGGAAATAGTGTGTGCACACGCGGATGGGCACGCGCTCCCCCGCCCTCCGGCACTGACCCCTGCCTCAGACCATATCTAGCTTTACTCTCATTGTCCACAGTTTACCTTCTATTGAAAGAGCTGATATCATCCCATGATCAGCCAGATCTAACTATTTCATGGTATCTTTCCCAGCCAGTGCCCTTTCCCTCATTATGGAAACTTTCTACATAACAATTTTGCCAAAACATGCCTATTCACGATACACCTCACTAATGTTTTTTACTATTCACTAGGAGATGAAGGCTGGTTTAAAGTATAATTAATATGAATTAGAAGCTATAGAGTAGGAAAGAGATACTTGTTCTAGCCTTGCACAGGCTCAGACACATCCATTTCATCATAAAGTTTCCCCTGTCTTCCATTATTATGCTATTAACATGCATACAATTATGGAAATGCAGCTTTACTTTAGGAAATGTTTTCTAAAGGAAAAAAGCTGAAGCCACCAGTCTTAAAAGGAGGAAATACATATATAAAAGATAATGCGAAAAGATTAGTACCAGGGCAATGGGGGGGGGAGAGAACTAGAATGAAAAGATAAGTTGCAAAGTACACAGGTGCCAACACACCCTTATTTGCTCAGAACTCAACCAGCAACACCAAGGAGAGCAAGGAACTCAGAATGTCAGGATGCAAAAAGCTATATGGTACTATGGGCTACAAGGGAAATGAAAGAGAAATAGGGAAAGTGTTTGGTAAACTGAAATAACAAGGTTGGTGGAAAAATATAGGTGATGCTGACCAGGTATGCATGCCTAGAGCCAAGGTGGTAGACTCAAGGACACACAAAACATACTACACACTCAATGCTACCTTGATTGACACTTGGCCAGCTTATGATTGCAACATGATGCAACCAGAATGTATTTTAGAGAGTTCTCTGCAACTATGAGAAACGAAATGCCTCTTGGCACAGGCATATCCACAGCCAAGCTGTTACAACAGGACTGGAAATATGGGCCAGAAGTTATAAAGAATGTCTGCCTAAACCAAGGCTGTTCCTTCTCCCTTCACTGGCTTGGCATGCATTCATCCCCAAAAGGTTGTACCTGAAATGGAAAAGTGTAAAGGAGTTGTTTTGTTCCTTCTTTAACAACAGCCAGCTGCAAAACCAGAAGGTGAACAGCACTACTATATTCCACTGGGCAGTAGTTCTTAAAGCGACTGCAACATTTCTGAAATGTGCAGAAATACCGTATTTTTTGCTCTGTAAGACTCACTTTTTCCCTCCTAAAAAGTAAGGGGAAATGTGTGTGTGTCTTATGGAGCGAATGCAGGCTGTGCAGCTATTCCAGAAGCCAGAACAGCAAAAGGGATTGCTGCTTTCGCTGCGCAGCGATCCCTCTTGCTGTTTTGGCTTCTGAGATACAGAATATTTTTTTCCCCTTGTTTTCCTCCTCCAAAAACTAGGTGTGTCTTGTGGTCTGGTGCATCTTAGAGAGCGAAAAATACGGTAGGTGCTTAACCACCATCAACATGGCTTAATCAAATGCATGCAGAACTCAGACAGATCCACATGCTGAGGCAAAGATACACTGAACAGATCACACAGCAAAACAATGAGCAATCATCTCATTGCCTTAAACATAAAAATGAAATGGGTCTCCAGTACTGCATGTACATTACAGGCCATTTGTTTTCTGTGGTATTATCATAGATATCATTTGTTGTTGTTGTTGTTTAGTCGTTTAGTTGTGTCCGACTCTTCATGACCCCATGGACCAGAGCACGCCAGGCACTCCTGTCTTCCACTGCCTCCCACAGTTTGGTCAAACTCATGCTTCGAGAACACTATCCAACCATCTCATCCTCTGTCGTCCCCTTCTCCTTGTGCCCTCCATCTTTCCCAACACCAGGGTCTTTTCCAGGGAGTCTTCTCTTCTCATGAGGTGGCCAAGGTATTGGAGCCTCAGCTTCACGATCTGTCCTTCCCATGAGCACTCAGGGCTGATTTCCTTCAGAACGGATAGGTTTGATCTTCTTGCAGTCCATGGGACTCTCAAGAGTCTCCTCCAGCACCATAATTCAAAAGCATCAATTCTTTGGCGATCAGCCTTCTTTATCATAGATGCATCCATGTCTCTCCAGCTTTCTAACTGCAGTCATGTTTCCATGATTGGCTGCTGTGTAATTAGAAGGTTCTCATCATCAAATTTGTAGGAAAGCAGGTACAAGCAGAGGTGACAGAATATAATAAATGTATTTAAGGTCACCCAATCACTTTTGCTAGTATAAAATTTTAATAAAGTTTAATAAGTACTGAAGTTGTGAAGAAGCAAAAAAGTTTGGAAACACCTTTCTGTATCTGGAAATACAGTGGTACCTCGGGTTAAGTACTTAATTCGTTCCAGAGGTTTGTTCTTAACCTGAAACTGTTCTTAACCTGAAGCACCACTTTAGCTCAAATGGGGCCTCCCTCTGCCGCCGCACCGCCGGAGCACGATTTCTGTTCTCATCCTGAAGCAAAGTTCTTAACCCGAGGTAATATTTCTGGGTTAGCGGAGTCTGTAACCTGAAGCGTATGTAACCTGATGTACCACTGTACAGTGTGCTGCATAGTAAATGCAATTAATATTTTACTTAAAACTGAAGACATTAACAGCTTGAAAATGAAAAATGCAAAAGAATATATCATAATCATAACCTGATCAGCTTTCTCAGACAGCAGGAACAATAATTCAGTCCTATTGATAACTGTGCCTCAAGCTATGTAACCATCTGTAGTACTTTTCAAAAGATATAGAGACCTGAGCAACTCCGTAACATAGTTTCCTGACATAGAACTGAGATTCCATATGACAATAGGTCCATACAACAAAACTCAGGTCTTGCAAGAAATTGTTACCAAGGAAGGTGGTCAACAAATGCAAGAAATAACTAAAGTATGAAATAGGTGGGTAACTTTCTTTATTAAAAATTGTAAACAGAGAGGGACACAGAATTACTGGTTCCTTATTGGGAAGGTTTAACTGCTGAGCCTGAAGAAAACAACAGACGGTATGCCAGTTCAGCACAATTGCTTCTGTACCCAAGAATGCTTTAAGCTAACCTGATGTGTCAGCAGTCTTTAAGGTTCAAAATGTCACCAAAAGAAGGCACAGTAAACTAGGCAAATCACATTGTGAGAAAGTTGTCCTCCCCCAGTCCAAAGAGTGCCTATTTTGAAATGCTGATGAGCTCACACAAGAAACAGGCAAGGCTTTATTCCTAAAGGTTTGTCTCCTTTTCAAAAGATACAAGAGGTGATGCACTCAAGGAACAATGTTTGTTCATTTGCCACAACCAGAACTGCAAGCAGTCCCACATACCTGTTAGCATCATCTCACAAGGCAAGCTCACATCCTTGTATTTCACTGTAAGTAATCCACTGGTTCTAGACTTAAGAGTCGATTCACACATGGTTGCCATGACTTGGAGGCTGCAACATCTAGTGAAGACATCAGTGTGTGAAAGCCATCAAAGATAGAACTTTTAATTTACCACCTTACATTAAGTCCAACAAAAGTATTTGAAGTGGAGGCAGAGCACACATTGAACTACAACCAAGCGGTGAGAAATCGAGGATTCTCAAGTATAATAGGACATTTAAAGGAATATGGTAAGCCCTCTCACACTTCTGCTGCAAATCATTTTGAGGTGAGTTGCTAGGGCTACCCAGTGAGGGCTAGATAGGCTTATCTATATTCAAAACCTGCATCTCAGCGCTGAGAGATGCACGCCTGTGCAGCAGGGAAGTCAGATATCCTCTGATCTCTCAAGACGAATGCAGGCATGCAAAGCAAGCAAGCCATGCGCGCAACTACTCATACCCAACTCGAACCCTTGGTTAGATACATAGCAGAAACATTAACGAATCCTTCTTCGCCATGCACCCCCAAACCACCACATGCTGAATTCAAACAAAGAAGCTAGCCAACCAGTCCCCTCTCCTCCCCGCCAGCCCAGCAAATCCCCAGGAATCAGGAAACAGACGAATGCAATGGCCCCTGACCCAAGCAGTCCTCACTTAAAGATAAAGCGATAAACGATCAGTAACGGGACCCCCTTCCCCATGGCCAACGTGGCAGGGTGGCCGGCCACCTTGGGCCTCGGACCTCCTCGCTTTAGTGCATCGCCCGGGGCTTAAAGCCCTCCCCACAGCTCTGTGCCAGCACCACCCCACCGTCGCCACGCGCCCCTTCCACCTCGTGCCCGGCTCCCCAGGCTCGGGTCGCCCGTCCGCCCCCCCCCCCTCCATTTCCCCGCGCTGGTGGTGCTACTCCGGGGCTGGCGGGCAGACCGAAAAGCTGCCCCCAAGACGGCCGGCGCCCACCCCTTTCTGCCGCGCCACGTGGAGCGCCGCGGGCTCCAGGAGCCCCGAGAGAGGACTTTGCCTCCCGCCTCCCCAGCCGAGCAGCCGAAGCCCTCCCTACCCGTTGCACGCAGCGGCACTCACACGACGCGCTCCTGCCCTTTCCCCACGCCGCGTCTCTCGCGTCTCTCCTTCCAGACAGTCTCCCGAGCGCTACTCGCAGGCGCTCCCGCCCCCTCACGCACTATAACGGGCCGGGCGGGGAGCCTGCCTGCGGCGAGGAGGAGGAGCCGAGAGGCAAAGGGCGGGCTCTTGCGCTGGCGGGTCAGAGGGAGAGAGAGAGCGGCTTGACCAGCTGGCCTCCCCCACCGACCGCAAAGAGCCAGCGGCTTCTCCTTATAGGAGAGAGAGAGAGAGAGGCGCCTTTGTGTGAGAGAGGTTGCCTGAGGGGGAAGCCTTTGTAGCGGGGGCGCCGCTCGCGAGGGAGAGGCGGGGAAATATCCACCAGGGGCAAATGGAAAGTGGCGTTTCTGCACGTAGAAGCTGGCGGCGGCGTTGCCAGAAAGCAGCGGGGCTGCCTCGGGTCTCCCTGTGGCCGCCAGTGGGCTCCTTAGTCTTAAAGGGCCCCTTATTAACTAGTATTTAAATATATATATATATAAGTGGTTCTGGGGCTTCAGCAGCCCACCTAAATATAACCTCTGTCTCCCTCCCGGGGTACTTTGTATATGCTCAGAGGCAATTCCCACACACACACACACACACACACACACACGCCCTGCCCACTTCATATTTTGCGGGGAATTGGAAACGGTGCCTGTGATACGGTAAGCCATGACTTCAATAAACCCGCCCCCCTTCTTGGCAACTGAAACTCAGCCAGGTTTGCCTCAGCAAATGTGCTCCTTAGAAGTTAGCACACTGTTCCGTTTGCTGCAGAGGGGCAGGTGGATCCCTGCCCTGTGGGTGTCTGAGCCTAGCACTCCGAATTGCACAGAAATTGTGACACCCTCCAGACCGGTGCCGGATTTACTTACAAGCTATAGCTCAGGGCCACGCTCTCTTGGGGCCCCCCCAAAAGTATACTTCTTCTTAATTGAATTTCACTATTAATATACTTATTAATTGTATTTCAGTTCAACAATTACTTTGATAAAATCCATATTTTGTTATGTGCAAATGGCTTTAGATACCTATTAGGCCCATAAATTACCATGTAGCATATATTCAACACAAAAAACAGCAGCAATTTGTTGTTGATAAAGGGCCCCATTACCTTCAGTAGCTTAGGGCCTCGTCAAACCTAAATCCGGCCCTGCACACACCCTCCAGACATCTGTGTTCCCTGCAATCGATGAACCTGCAGTCCTGAACTAGGGTCCCATTCAGGGCAGTGGGAGTTGCTTCTTGAACAACCATGTTTATGGTTGGTTTTAGTCACTTACATTAAGGACGTAAAATCAGATCAAAGTCCACAGTGCCAAAGCTGGGGAAACCAGGTAAAGAATATCTACGAAAGGTGGCCTGAGAGCAGGAACAATCTCTCTGAGTGCTATTATTCCCTGTTTAGGGAAGCTTTTAATGTCTGATGTTTTATCGCTTTATTATTATTATTATTATTATTATTATAATCATCATTAATTCTGTTGTGAGCCGGCCAGAGTGGCTGGGAAAACCCAGCCAGATGGGCAGGGTATAAATAATAAATTATTATTATCTCTGAGGGAATGAAATGTTTGGAAATGATCTGTACAAGAGCAACAGCGTCTTTATTTATTTACACATTCATACCCTGCTCTTTAGCTAAAAAGTCTGCCAGGTAAACTTACAAAAATCAGTAGTAAGAGAGCCCCTGCCCTCAGTCTCATAATCTAAAGGACATGATGTGAGGAAAGAGGGATGGGGAGGGTAGAAGAAGAAAGCAACCCCAGACATCAATTATTAGAGTTATTACAATGCAGTTATATAATTCTGTATTGGAGATTATCCCCTCTCCAAGAAAATTCTTCACCCACCCCAGGCAGATCTGGGAGCAAAGCAAGTCCAGGAGAAAGAGCAGAACTGCTCCTGTCGCATAGGAGCGGACACTAGACTTGATGGCGGTTGGAATCCTTACAGGAAGGAAATGGATGGAGTTGTCCTCTTCCCTCACCAATGACAGTATTGGTTCTCTAAATGATACAGTACACAACACCATAGGGGAAAGGGTAGGAACTCATATAATACATTAACATTTCATATAACATAACATTTGTGAGAAATCAAAAACACTCCCTTTTTTCAAGCAGCCATGATGACTTAATTTGCATGCATTTTGCAGAACTGGCAAAGCTGACGGGGGAAATCCAAAACCGACGAGTAAATTTATACAATATTTGAAAGATCATTGTAAGCAATTAACAACACTAGTAGGGTTATCTGAAGATTTCTAATGAGATTTTTTTTAACCTTTATTTATTTAAATTTTGAGGGATTTTGTGATAGTCTTATTAGAATTGAAAATATATAAAATGCTGTGATATAAAGGTTAACTTTGAAAGCCAAGAGGTGGGAGGGAAGGAAGTTGATAGGCTCTAAAGAGCCAAAGAGGTAAAGTGGACAATATTGATGTGATTATATTTGTTTAAATGGAAAATTAATAGAAATTATTTAAAAAACAACTTACATGCATTTTTATAAAACATTTGCAAGGTCCATATGTCACTTAAGAGAAAACATCCAGTTAAATGAGCCACCATAGGCACTTCCCAGTACAGTGTATAAAGCCTGGAAAATCAGGTATTTGTAAACGTGACCTGCTATCAAAACTTAAGAGTAGCAAGATACTGTCACTATGTAAAGACCACTTGAAATACTAAACTTTTCCTGAGTAGTAAGCACACACACTGGCAATCAGGGTGGAATGTTGTTTGCCAGTACGTGATTTCCATGTGTGCACACACTGATCAAACAATTGTCCGTACAATTGCCATATAGTGATTGTGCTTTCTCCTAACCGAAAGGGTTTTCTGTCTATGAAACCTAGACAATTAAACAGCTAAAGTATTGTGTACCAAGAAACTTGGTATAAAAATAAGACTTATTTTTGAGATGCATTACAATTCTTGTCAAAGTGCTGTTTGCCATGAGCTCTCTTAATTTGTGATTCACCTGTCATTGTACCCTGAAATTGACTAAGGCAGACCAATTTTGCCTTTCCCAGAGGATAAATGTTTAATATCTTGTCATTTGCTCCATATTAGAAAGAAATGGGGAACAAATCCAGTGACACTAAACAGATGGGAAACGGTTCTTCTGCCACATCAAAGGGAAAAGTCATCCTTCTACCAGGCATGATCATTCAAGGTACGCTTCATAAATGTTAAGGCACTTAATGATGCTGAGAAGTAGAAACAGAACCTTGTACATTGGACAATAACACAATTATTCTTATCCAGGGATTATAACCATTCCACTCATCCACTTTTAAAATCATATTACATATAGACATAAAAACTGGTGGGTTGACCAAGGTTCTTTTAAACATTTATTTGAATTTTAAGTGTTTTACGCCTCAGTACTGCATCTTGTGCAAAAAATTTAAAAGATATTAATCCCAAGGCTTTACTACACTTTCCCCCAGACCTGAGAGACTGTACTGTACTTGAAAGAAAAGTTAATTGCCATTAGGTGCTGGCACAACCATTAGACATCTTTGGAAACTGTTGAGGCTGCTGCATCTTTGAGGAGGGGCAAGTAACACTCATCCCCATTTCGTCTCAACATTTTGCCCATACACTTTGGCCATTTTGCCTGCTCTAGAAAAGCTGTTTCAATTGCTTGGTAATCATAATGGTGAACTTTGGACAGACCTAAAAATGCTGAGGACTGAAGCATGGTGGTGCCTCCTGGCCTGCGGGAAAGGAAGCTTGAGATCACTCTCATAGTTTCTATGTGTCATCAGGTGGCCAAACTCACTGCCTCAGGGTTCTTTCATTCTAGAAGGCCAGCACATGCAGTCAAGTACAGTATGTTGATAGAGTCTCAGTGTGAGTCAGATACAGCTTGGCCAATTTTCGTCAAAGGGATTCTTTACAAAGAAATACTCCATTTTTATTGTATTATTATTGGGTGACATTCAACTAGGTTTTACTTAAAATAAACCTAATGGGAGGAGTTAACACTGAGCTCCTCTGATTGTTGCATCAGCACAAGCATTTCTGCTTGCCAGACAGAATTATTGCCCTTCCCCTTCTAGGCATGTGAACTAAATGGTTAGGCACCTGCTGTTCACATTTTACTTGTATTAATATACTGGTGCAGCCATGGTAAACACAATGTTAAACACAAGCACATGCATCTTCAGATGGAAAGGTACATTGAAAAGCTTTGGGTGGAAAAGTGTTGTATAATTTCAAAAACGTAAATAACTATAAATAACTATGTTTTTATTGCAGCTATTTATATACTACTTAATCACCAAAGTTGCCAAGCAAAGTTTCTCAGCTACTTCACACTTGTGAGAATAATATGGTGGAGTTGGGGGTTGGAGAACCACGTAAGCTGCTCTGAGTTTGTTAGAGGAAAGATGGGATTAAAATATTGTCATTAATAAAATATAAAGCAAGTATGAAGGAGACTAAAAACAGGGATCATGTTCCTCTGAAATTATCAGCCCTTTCTTCATGCCTAGAAAGTATTGAAGAAGTTAAAGGTAAAGGTACCCCTGCCCGTACGGGCCAGTTTTGACAGACTCTGGGGTTGTGCGCCCATCTCACTCAAGAGGCCGGGGGCCAGCGCTGTCCGGAGACACTTCCGGGTCACGTGGCCAGCATGACAAAGCTGCATCTGGCGAGCCAGCACAGCACACAGAACGCCGTTTACCTTCCCGCTGGTAAGCGGTCCCTATTTATCTACTTGCACCCGCGGGTGCTTTCGAACTGCTAGGTTGGCAGGCGCTGGGACCGAGCAGCGGGAGCGCACCCCGCCACGGGGATTCAAACCGCCGACCTTTCGATCGGCAAGCCCTAGGCGCTAAGGCTTTTACCCACAGCGCCACCTGCGTCCCTATTGTAGAAGTTAGTTAATAACAATTTCAAACTTTTAATGTCTCACCCCCTCATGGAAATGCTGCATCTCCTTTGTTTAAAAGTGTTGACATTAAGAAGTTGTAGACTAATAATTCCTTTGCCTGGAGACAGAACTTCCTTCTTGCTTTTCACTCAGTGTCAGGTAGCCAAAGGAGACAGTGAAGACATGTAGGCCTTTATTACAACTTTAATTTGGCAGCAGCATCTCTTCACTCCACTCCAAGGGTTTGCCCTCTTTCAAACTCAGGTCATTTTGTTTAGGGGGAAATTTGTTTATTTGTTTTTAAATTTATAAACTTACAAATTGCCCTACTAATGCTTTTGCAGCAGGAGCTGAGAAATAAACTATACAATTTTGCTCCAAACCCATCTCTATTGCAGATGGGGATTAGGGTGAGATTGAGAGATTTTTTCATAGTGTGAGGGTTGGAGGGAAGTGGTTGGAAATTAAGAGATACTAGTTGTCAACAACCTTGTTGTACAGGCTGGATTTATCTCCATATTGGTGATTGATGGGTGTAATGTAAACTCTGCATTATAATCTTCATATTTTGTATGGGAACTGTGATTCATAATGGCTTGCAATTATTTTCTAGTAAAGACTTGAAGAACAACCACCTGCTTGATATTTTTTGGCAAGATGTGCTATAGTACACCCCAGTTTTCTAATGCACAATCATGTTATTAAGTTTTATAAGATACAGATATAATTGTATCTTATCTAATTTCTGCTATCTGCAGCATGTGCCTAAATCCTCTGATACCATCACAGTCATGTAGACTGAGAACAAATAATGCATCCAAAGCTGGCCTATCGCTCACATAAAAATACCTCAGCTTTCAATAAAGCTTAAACTAATTAAATTACCTTCCACAACCCTAGCAATAATTAAATGCGGGTGCCTTGTGTCCTATTTGCATGCAGAGACATTGTGCTTTTCTGCCCAATGTTATCAAATGCAGATCCTAAACAAAACAGGATCCCAGGAGCACTTGTTACTCCTGGCTTTCCAGCTCCACATTTGAAACTATATTACTATATGATTTAATTAGGCAGTTCTGGTGATACTTTGAGCTGATGTGTTTGTTTACTCACCAGATGATAAAGAGATGCTATTGTAAGATGCTAATTGCAGGGTAATAAACTTCCTTGATTGTTCAGAGAACTACCAACGGAAGAAAATCATCATTGCTGATTCAAAATATACAAACTTTTTGTTGGCCGATTGTTTGATGTTTTTATACCCTGCCCTAGTAAAATCATTACGTGAAAATCATTCATTACCTAAAAGGACCAAACATCTAATGTTGCCTCTCCCGAGTATTTCCTTAATTAAGCCAGATTAAAGCAAAGGCTTCAGGTTCTTTTTTCTATTGTGTTTTCTACCTACTATCAGCTTCACAAACATTTCCTCACTGAAGAGTAAGCCAATCCTTGCTGAGATCTTATCACAGAATTGCCCTTAAGTCTCTGTATTCACATACTGAGATGTCTCTGGTTTTTATTTATGCCACTGCCTGTCAGGTGGACGCAAAGCAGGCTTCCCCCCCATCCCTTCACGCTGATAAGATTTAATATCTGTTGAACATTTACTTCATAATTGAGATTTTTTGCCACGTAGGTGAGGCAACTAAAATATAGAATGGAAAAGAAAATATCTGTGTGAGAAACAGCAAGTTCATCCAGTCCTAAGAAAATCTTCTCTCAGGTGGTCCTAATATCTGTGTTCCTGAGTAAAGAAAATCAATCAATAAAAATATTGCAAGTATTGAGCTGAAACAAACATGTTTTGTGCATATGTTTTACCCCTTGCAAAAGGATGCATGACTGGTGGAAAGGAAATGTATCCCTACTGCCAAGACAATTTGACCGCTGCATAAAGGTAGAACTCAGCTGAATGGTCCAGGTTTCAAGTCAAAAGCCAGACAAAAGCTACACCGGTACTTTCTGTTTTAAAAGGAACCTTCCACAGAGAGTTAATCCTCACACAATCACCATCCATTCCTCACGTAATCACCACTCCTTATCTACTCCACTGATAAGATTAAAAAATCTGGACTGATTGGTGGCAGTTTATAACTGGGTACCTCAGCCTGGAAGAAAGGACCACATTTTTAGGATGTATCTGTATAACAGTATTGTATTTAAACGACGGCAACACAGACAAGTGCACAGAACATAGGAAGCTTCCTTATCCCAAGCCTTATCCCAAGTCAAACTACAGGTCCAACTAGCTCAGTATACCCCACACTGACAGGCAGTGCCTCTCCAGGAGATTCAGGCAGGGGATTCAAGGACTGAACCTGAGACATTCTGAACATCAACTACCTACTTCATGGAATGCAATGCAGGCAAGTGTGTGGATTGGCAAAAGAGGGACGGATCATTCTGCAGGCCTGCTATTTACTTGTTAGATGGGCCCGCTTTATGAGTAAATAGCAAAGTTAAAGAATAAAAATCTAGGTCAGTATCTTTAGGAGACTTGCTGTATCATACATACTAAAAACAAAATGTGCAATGCTTACAAATTTAAAACAGCAGTTAACTCTCAACTTAGATACCTCATACAGGCACTCAAGCACATTTTTCTGCTGCCACCCTGCAACAGGCCAACAATAAAATAAAATAAATGAGTACACATGGCAGTGGCTTGATAAATCAGTCAATTCATTAGGATAAAGGCTGAGTGTCCTGTATGAGTGGGATACTGGTGGCCACACCCAGTTTTGATCACACCTTCTACTTGCATGTGGTCCTAGAGCCAAAAAATCAAATCAAAGCTGACTCTTGAATTTCTATCTCTGGAACACAGCTTTTTCTGTTTCCCAGCTTTTAATATTCTGTATATAGGATGGGAAGTCATATTATTGCTGCATGTATACTGCTACTAAGAATGATTTCAAATACTGTACACTGGTGTTGTTTCTTGTGAAACTAAGCAAGTCTGGTCCTGGCCAGCAATACCAGGAGTCAACTCTTAGGAGCCAAGGTCCCTTTGCTCCCCCCAATAAAATATTTGAGTGGGCTGCCCCCCAAAAGTTGATGGGCATTGCCATTCAAATGGTGTATGTGTGCCTCATCTTGTGATCAATTATGTGGGGTGGGACTTATCTGCCTCCCAAATATTTATTCAAGATGACACCCCTGCCAGAATGGGAAAGTACCGTAGTTGGCAATTCTTTAACAGCACTTTCTCTATGGAAAGCTAGTTAATGGTAGTCATCACCATTGTAATAATGCCTTTCTCCAAATATCGACAAAACACTAAATATCTG